ATCATGTAGTATAGATTCCATGGCCTCCTATACGACGTCGTACATAACCATTGCATTCGATCAGGTCCGCAAGGGTAACGCCCAGACCTTCCCCGAGGAGCAGCTCGAGCATTGTCGTGATCATCCTGAAGACTACGCCAATGCCTCTACCACATTCGAGGATGAGGAGGCTGATGATGAATCGGAAGATTCTGATGTTGAGGATGATATTGATAGTGACGAATCTGAAAGCGAGTCGGAGGAGGACGAGGATAGCAGCAGTAGCGAATCGTCTGAATCTGAGTCGGAGTCGGAAAGTGAGAGCAGCTCTAGTGAGAGTGAAGATGAAAGTGTCAAGGTAGGAAGCATAAATTCTGTGGTTATTATTGGAGTTTCACCGGTTTACGTGAAGTGGTGTGATACTCTGTGAAAAACGCGATGATATGCAGCGGTTTGTGAAATATGTTTTCCACTAGTGTTTTTCATATCACTAGGGTGAAACTTCATTGTTGTTGTATTTTTTCAGCATCGTGCAAAGCCTAAGCGCCGTGCTGTTGTTGACGATGTTGATTCTGAGGGCTCTCTTACGTCCTCAGACGATGAAAGTGATAGTGATGAGGTAGCGTGCGGCTGTGTTGGTGTGGGCATATATGTTTGGTTTCCTCAACTGAGCTCATAAGTTTCCTCACTACATTATAAAAATTAACGACAATTTCTCTAAATTTTCTCATTTTTACCAACACATGTAGTTCTCCATTGACTGTTGGTGTCTTCAGTCCTCTTCTGATGAGTCTTCATCATCATCGTCGTCCTACAGTAGCAGTAGTGAATCGGAGGAGTCCAGCAGCGAGAGTGAAAGTGAATCTGAAGCTGAGAGCGCTTGGAGCATGTCGGCCGATGATGAGAGTGAAGATGACGAGTTGGACGAGCAAGCAAAGAGGAGGAAGCGTGCTTTGAAGTGGTTGAAGGACAGCGATGAAAGTGACTCGGAAGATGAGAGGAAGCAGGCAAACGAGGTAATGTGGTATAATGGTGGGATTCTCGGCTATTAATCGAGTGGTTGTGGGTTCGATCCTAGGTGATGACATTTTTATTACAGGTTCGTGCTCGTCGCTTGCAAGCTCGTGGTGCTAGAGAAGAGGCTGCGGCTAAGCGCCAGCTGGCAGTTGACAGCGACGCTGATGAAGAGGACTTCGAATCTGAGTTCAAGATCGTTGATCGCGAGGAGGCTTTGGTGGAGACGCTGAAGACCCAATACGGCATTCACGACGAGATGGAGGAGGACGATGTTGTTGCTAAAACGAGGGAGATCCTCCAACAGCGTGGGCGTAAGGGCGTGGATAGACAGCTCCAGTTGAAGAAAATGTTGGCATTACTTGAAATTTCCGAGAAGAATGAGTTCGACACCAGTGCTCGGGCTACTCTACTTGGTGGTATTCTCTCTCACTACGTGGACCAACGTTCGGGTGTCTTTAACAGTCTCGCTCGCCCGGCGTGGTTACAGTGCTTTGCTTACCTTGGTCGGCTCATCTCTGTTGTGGCGAGCGATGGTAGCGCGGTGATTCTGACTGGTGGTATGGAGAAAAGCGAAGATGAGACTGTGAGGAAGCAGCAGAGGTCTTCCACCAACTCTGCGGTTGCGGGATTCATCGAGCAGTTGGATGAAGACTTGTATAAGAGTCTTCAGAGTGCAGCAGAGTAGGGCGTGGGAATCGAACCGGGGACCTCGCGGTATTGAGTTTGTTTTCAGCTTGTCGTCGTCGCAACACTCTGCTGGGTCGTCCACAACTACTGGTGCTATCGCCACTGCGGAGCAATACACGGAGCGCCTCGCTGATGCTTACAAGTTGGCGGCTTTGGAATTCGTGGCGTTGTGCCAGTTTAAAAGTAGGCACTTTTGGGTGGCGTGAGAAAATATGGACATGATCAACTACATGTGTAGGTGACATTTGATGAAAATTTGAGGAAAATTTTTATGGTTTCTGTTTCTTACTTCTACCCGAATTTGTAAGGAAACTTCAATAACCAGTAAGGAAACTTCTAGACTTAGCTGAGGAAAGCGAGCGTATATTCCAACACTGCTTGTGGGATTCGAACCTGGCACCTCTGCTTTTCAGTTGATACCAACGTCGATGAGGGAGAAGCCAAGGACTCCGTCGTTTCTCGTGTTGCCTTGAAGTTGATGGACCATCTCTATTATCGCGCCGAGAATCTCAACAAGCTCGTTATCAAGAAGATTGGAGAAAATCTGAAGGACGGCGAGAAATTGCTCTCTTGCAATCTTGCTAATTCCCTAACGGAGACTGCCAGTGCTGAGTGGGAGCGTCTGTCGCAGCTGGAGGAAGGAAGCTCGGTTGCTTTGGTGGGCAGTCTGGCCGCGTGTGTCTACAACTTCAACGGTCCGATGGCTACTAGTATGAAGGTCATCGCTCTGCTACGTCAAATCTTCCACTATGCTAATAACGACCGGTTGAAGGAGGCGAGGAGGCTTATTACAGTCTCCAACGTGCATGAGAGAGTGCCTCCTTCGCTGAGTGGTGCTGGAGCTGATGTGAATACCCAGGTCTTGTACAACAGGGCGTTGGCGGCTATTGGTATGGCGCATTTCCGAGCCGGAAATGTAGCGCAAGCTCACAAGTAGGGGAGTGTGATGAAAAATGCAGGGTGTGGGAATTGAACCTGTGCAGGTATCTTTATGAGCTATGTGGTCAGAATCGTTGTCGAGAGCTCTTGGCTCAAGGATACAGTCGAGTGTCAACTATGCGTGGAGAGGTGAGGCTGGGTAATTTCGTGGCGCAGTGACGGAGTTCTCGATCAGGAGAAGACTCCTGAGCAGGAGAAGGCTGAGAGGCGCCGTCGTCTTCCCTACCACATGCATATGAACCTCGAGCTCGTCGAGACCGCCCACATGATCTGCGGCGTCTTGCTAGAGGTCACTCAAATGGCATATCACCGTGCTACTGGTAGGATGGTCGTGGGTTCGAATCCTAGATATTATACATTGTACTAGTTATTACTATATATCAATGGAATAAAATCTGTTATATTGAGATTACCATAATATATTAAATATAATTTCACCACCCTAGTGATATGAAAAACAGATTTCAAGACTACTGCATATCACCACGAATATCGCGTTTTTCACCGAGTCTCACTCTACTTTACGTAAAACGGGTGGTGAAACTCCAATACATAATTTAAATATATATGAAGTATTAATATGTACTAATACATACATGGCCATTGATTGCCGTTTGGTATAGTGTAGTTTCACTCATTTTACGTGAAGTAAAGTAATATTCTGTGAAAAACGCGATATTCGCGGCGCTATGCAGTAGTCGTGAAATGAACTTTTCACTAGTGTTTTTTTCATATTACTAGGGTGAAACTCCACTATATGGTCAAGGCTTAAGCTTATTATTATATAATATAGATCGAGGAAAAATTTTTTTCGTCAGGTGCGAACAGCCCCCTTGTGAACAGAGTCGTCCGTCGATCTCTCGAGTTGATGGACCGTCAAACCTTCCTCGGTCCTCCCGAATCCGGTCGCGACTCGGTCCTCTTTGCTGGCAAGGCCGCGCTGTCTGCAGACGTCGACCGTGCGGTGACTTTGATAAAGTCGTTGAAGATCTGGGATCAACTTCCTGCTACTGTGCTTCCTCTCATCGAGGAGGGTATGAGGGAGACTTGCCTGCAAGTGGCCTTGTATAGGAGTATGCTCACTCACACGTCGGTCGATTCGCAGCAGCTATCGCAGCACTATAAGGTTGACCATAGCACTGTCAATGGTAAGCTATTGGTACTGTGTTGGACTATAGTGTTTTTCAGCTATGATTCGACAACTGATTTTCCGAGGAGAGTACCCTGCGCAGTTTGTCGCGGACGGTGAACTTGGCGATGCTACTGAGGATAAGATGCTCTATACCAAGTAAGAGTTGTGAGGAATTATTTCTTTTCACATCAACAAAGAAATACAGATTATAATGTAATTATTACTATGTTTATGAATAGATATTGGAGTTTCACCCGTTTTTTGCGAAGTGGCGTAAAACTCGGTGAAAAACGCGATATTCGCGGTGATATGCACTAGTCTTGGAATATGTTTTTCACTAGGGTTTTTTCATATCGTTATATTTCATGTGTTTTATCTAAGTATTATTAGCATTGATATGAATATACGATTACTAATCAGGTTGAAGTGAATATTGTTGTTTTCTCAGTTTCCCCCGTGCGTCTCGGTTCCAGCAGCTTTCACGACAGCTTGTAGATCGTTCTATCATGACACTCGACAGCAGCGACAAATTGGTGATGGATCAAAGTACCGGTCGGTACGACTATCGAGGAAGTGGTCTGCCGAGTGATCAGCCGAAGCCTCGGGTTGCTCGAGCTCCTCTGAGTAGTGAGGAAGCGGCGAGAAGAGGCTGGGGAGCGGCTCGGAGGCAGGCTAAGGGGACAGTCATCCCGAACGCCTCGGCTGTTGGTGGTCTGAAGCCTGCTGGAGGGGTCGGCGGTCTGAGGACGGGAATGTACGTCCCTCCTGGACGACGTTAGGAGTTCGATGATGGTGAATATTTAAGTGTAAAAATAATAGAGGATACTCATAGCGGCCATCAGTAACAACAATCTCTCATTGATGGAAGAGATCATCGTTTCACGCAGTTGGTTGGACTTGAGTTTAGACAGTAGTGAGATGAGAAATACAACGAGCAGGGTTCGAACCTGGATGCCCTCACGATTGGACGGATGCATGACCACGCGACTATTTGCGAGTTGTAAAATATGAACTCATCCTTTGATTGTTTCGTGATGTTCACGGTGAATGTATAGTCCAACATCGACTTGGTGAAATCGCATAGTTTATGACAAAATATTGGGCGCAGAGCTCGAGAGGCTAATTAGCTGAGTTGGGCAGCTGAGGTATCTAGCTATATGAATAGCTGATTATAGCTAGAAAAAGGACCCATACTGTAACTCTATCGGTGTCGTCTATAAGCTAGTATTACTACGATGTTCAAGTCAATACTATTGTCTGCTCTTGTCATCCTTGCTGCTGTTGCATGGGGTCCTGATGGTCATGCTACTGTAGCTGATGCTGGCAATAAACTATTCAACGACAATGCTAATGAGGCTGTGGCTGAGATATTGGGCGAAGGCGTCAGGATGGCCGATTACGCCAGTTGGCCCGATAGTGTCCTTCATGGGCCTGATAGCTCTGAGTGGGAGTGGTCCTCTGGTTTACATTTTGCTGATGTTGAACAGTGTCATTTTATCTACTCCCGAGACTGCAAAGATGACTACTGTGTTGTTGGTGGTATCAAGAACTATACCCGTCAAGTGGCGGACACTAGTCTTCCTATAGAGCAGAGGCAAGTGGCTTTGAAGTTCCTCATGCACTTCATGGGTGATATTCATCAACCTCTCCATGTTGGTCGACATTCTGACTATGGTGGAAACACTATCAAGGTTGATATGAAGTTCGCCAACTACGAGTATGGTGCCCTTCATCACGCCTGGGACGAGAAGATGATTGACCAGTCTCAGGCTAGTCAGTATGATGGTGAATACATCCAGCAAGACGCCAACTACAGTACCCCGCTCGCCGAGAGGGAGACGTTCTGGGGAATTACGGTGTCCGATATTATGACAGAGTTGGCTGAAGGAGGCGCCTTCCATGATAGAGTTCCGATGTGGCTCGCTGACTGCGAGACCAACGGCCTGGACGAGTGTGTGAACACCATGGCTGAGGAGTCGGCAATCATTGCTTGTGCTGATGCTTATAGACATCTTGATGGTGATGAGATCGAGTATGGAGATGTGCTATCTATGGATTACTACGATGATCGTATTAAAATTGTTAAGGAGCAACTCGCGAAGGGAGCCGTTCGTTTTGCCTGGATTATGAATCACGCTTTCCCTGATACTGTTACTACTACTACCACCACTACTACGGCCAAGACCACCGCTGCTGCGGTCAAGACTACCACCATCGCAGCCTCTAACTGCTCGAAAGCTGACGCCGAATGTGCTCTTTCCTACTCCGGCTCATACTGCAAGTATTGGCTGACCGAGCCTGTTTGCTTCGGTTCCAATATCCCTTGCTCTTGCTAAGTCGTCACTGTATTGTACCCGATGCTATCCTCATGTAATTTATGTGTCTTCAGTACATCATCGATTCTTTCTGGTGATGTCGAACTGTGCCAATGTACACAGCTCTATCCCTATGTGGTTAAGTTATTCGGCATTGTTGTCGTTGTGTCCTATGAGAGCGCGAAGTAACTCCTGTGATATACACGAGTAGTTTTTTGTCTACCCAAGAGAATTCTGTTTGCTCGCGCAGGTATTTATCTGTTGTGTTGGACCACGAAGTCAATGAGATATCAATTTGGCGAACCCCACCCTCACAACGGTTAGTAGTTCATTGTCCAGATTCGTTTGTGTTATCTACCAGTAGAGTCAGAGGGAAAGTGCGAGAGTTTTTGTGAGCGTACATCTCGATACTTGACGAGGTTGCTATACAAGTCTCCTTTTAGCATAATTGAGTTCAACTGAACAGTGAGGGTATCTAGTTTTAAGGGGGATGTATATACATGAGAGTTGTCCCCAGGCTTACGATGTGAATGGTATATCTATAGAAGCGGTCGTAATAGTTAAGACCACTTTTATCCTTGAGCCACTAAGGAACCTTCTCACGACAATCTTCACTCGGGCATTCACTCCAGTGATAGTTCAGATACTGATGAAGTTTTGTTGAATGTGGTCTGGATGTTACTCGCTACCTTCGAACGTATTAATCGTCATGCCCAGTCTATGTTAGCGTTTTGGGAGTTAGCAGCCTTAGCATCATCATGAAATGGATGGTGAATGTTATTCATGAGGTGCATGAGAGGAGAACGAGCTTATTGGCGCTGCTCTTGAGGGAGAGTGTGTCCGCCACTTGACGGGTGTATTTCTCGATAGCAACGACAACGCTGTGGTCATTTATGCGATCACGGAAGTAGATGAAGTTGCATTTGTCATGAGTGATGACTTGATAGAGATTGGCGAGCCACTCGGCTACGTATGGACCGTGAACAATAGTCTCCACGACACTCGAGTAGATAGCACTTGTTACACTTCCCATGAACTCGCCCAACATCCTATTGACATTTCAATTGAGGTTATCCTTTGCAACATCGTCTAAGGTGGCACGATTATCTGTGCTCAATCGATAGAAGTATCAGATTCACCCCGGCAGCAAAGTTTCACTTCGAATGACATGGACGATTTTACAATGATAATTTTGCTCTTCTCACTGATTCAAATGAGTTCATACAACTTGAAACTCACCCTCTAACAATCTCACTGATAAAAATCAACATCGAACGTCTGAAACTCGGGAGCTCGTGGATTCTATGAACAAGCAAGAACCCCTTGTAGATTGATAACCAAAAAGTAAATCTACTCACATCACGATATCATACAGTATTTAACATGAATGAGATTTAACATGAATCAAAACGTTCTAGCAAGCACACGGAATATCACTGCCGAAGCAAACAGGAATAGTCTGCCAATACTTGCAGTACGAACCAGGATAACTAAGCTCGCACTTTCTGTCGGCCTCACTGCAATCACGAGGAGCAGAAGTAGTAGTGACAGTAGTATCCTCAGGGAAAGCATTGTTCATGACCCAAGCAAAACGCACAGCAGCCTTAGCGAGTTGCTCCTTAACAGTGTTAAAGCGTTGCTCGTAATACTCCATAGGAAGAACATCATCATCGAGAACCTCGCTACCATTGACATGTTTGTAGGCGAAGTCGCAAGCAGCAGCGGCCGTCTCGGTAACCATCGTATTAACACACTCATCTAGACCGTTCATCTCGCAGTCCTCAAGCCACATGGGAATCTTATCATGGAAAGCACCGCCTTCTGCCAGTTCCTTTTCCAGATCAGCTTCAGTGATTCCCCAGAAGACATCTCTCTCGGCGACGGGGGTGTCGTAGTTGAAGTCTTGTTGAACATACTGGTTACCATATGTGGAGCCCTCGAACTCGTCAATAAGCTTCTCGTCCCAAACCTTGTGTAAAGTGGCCGACTTGTTATCCGCGAACTTATAGTCCACATGGATGGAGTTTCCACCATAATCCGAATAACGACCAGCATGGAGAGGCTGATGAGCATCAGCCATGAAGTGAGTGAGGAACTTCAAAGCAGTCTGACGGCTCTCAATTGGCAACGTCTCATCGACGACCTGACGAGTGTAGTTCTTGATAGCACCAGCAACACAATAGTCATCCTTGCAATCACGAGAATAGACAAACTCGCAGTCATCAACATCTGCATAGTGTAAACCAGAGGACCACTTCCACTCAGCCTTATCAGGACCATGAAGGACACTGTCAGCCCAAGTAGAGTAGTCGGCTAGTCTAGTGCCCTCACCCATGATCTCATCAACAGCCTTCCCGGCATTAGAATTAAAGTACTTGCTAGCAGTATCAGCTACAGTAGCATGACCGTCGGGACCCCAAGCCAATACGGTAGGGATGGCAAGGATGGTCACACTGAGGGTATACAACATACTGAAGTTAGGAAAACTACAAACATGCTACTTCACCGCTTACTGCAGAACGGAATATCAACCCTCCAATAGTCATCAGAACCTCTCGAGCCAATATGCCCTAAGTGAGGTCCCAAGAGAATAATAGACTACATACACATGCACAAGAGATGAGTGAAGTTTACTAAACAATCCCATCGATATATCGTTATCAATCTCTCCACTCTACACGAAATGTTGAATAACTGGACATATACTAGTGATAGCCTCAAGCTAAAGTGATAGAGTATTAGCTTGTCACGATCACTAGCGTCGCATCTCGCTAGTCCTGGCTGAACTGAATTGCTATCCCTCTGCGAACCCCTTCCCCCGCCCGGATACTTCCATGGTGACACAAGTAAGCTGCTCGAAGTGCATATGTCAAGCAAATTCTCATTTGTGATTAATCAACGAGATAATCGAATTCTTAGTAGACATGCAGAATAGGAACACAGCACGGCGGGACAATACTAATACTTGTCAGAAACTACTATTGTTGGCGACGACACTCGACCTTTCTCAGCTCGCATCTAACCCCCATGAAGTCTCGCCACATTCCCCATGATATTCCCAAGTTTCATATAATCCCCCCTTAAAAATCAAAAAATGCAAAAAATCTCCGATAAAGAGTGGAACCATTGAGATGAAGACAACGTGATTGTGCGCAGTAGACAGAGTTGATCGATTTACCCGAAAGCTAACGGCCTGTCAACTCTGGCTCCAGTGATCCTCAAGTTATACTAACTATTTACACTTAACCAGGGGAGTTTCGATAGAGTTAGTCGACTAGGTGGTATGGAGAGGACCGAAGACTTGCAGGGCTCCCCCCCTGAAGTTTCGGTCACGGGACAGGTGCCCGACTAAGTGGTGTCGTATCAACGACTCACGTCTCACACGGGTCTGTCCCGTCACCCAGTCCACTAGAAAAACTGTCAGTTACTAATAACTTTCCCTTCGGAATCCTCGGATCATTGAAGCACCTGCGAGCGACCGCGCTCGCTCGCCCATCGAATCACTTCCTCTGGAGTTGACCCTAGCCTGTGTGGAGACTTTCCATCAGGCCGGGCCTGAATCCACGCAACTCTGCATGCGAGTCTCCTTACTCTGATCGACTCATTGGGCCTCATTCACTTACTAACCTAAAAAACGGTGAAAAACTTGAGGAAGTATGATAAAATCGTTTCACTCAGAAATAAGATTACTCGAGTCCCTCAGACTCACCCTTAAGATAAGAACTCAAGATCTTACGTTAGTTTTTTGCAAAAAATGTGAGTAAGGGAGTTAGTTCATTCCACTAACCCACGTTCTGAAGGACAAACTTGAGATCTCGGTTGCCCTCGATTGGCTGAATCTCAGATCGAACGAAACTCAAAAACACTTCTAGAAACTTAATTGTGACGACGGGTAAATTTCCGCATTAGTCTTTTCAACAAATTGACTTTCTCATATGATTGTCTCTTCTCTCGAACTCTCCGTTTAGCCAGAACACGATACGTTCCACTGAAGAATATAGTGAGGACGGTTGTGCTGAGGGCTATGACGTTGAATGGCATGCTGAAATCTGGCATCGGTAGCATCACAAGCAAACCGTTGGTGAACCTGGGAAATGATACAGCACTCGGATTACAGACAATTTTGGACATAAAACCAAAATTCTATTTATAGGGAAAACCTTAAAAACATTTTTTCGTGCGAAAGAACTCACCAGAGTCGTACTAGTTCCGAAACACCATTTGATGTAGTATCACAATACGAAAGTCTCAAGGAGAACCCTCTACTACTGCGGCTCAGCTGAGAAATCCAAACATAAATTTCAACACTGAACAGCTCAATGTTAGATAGTACGCCTCGAGACAGGAGAACTCCCCCAGCCTACCCTCGGTGAATCCGCGTCCCGCCAATTCGAACTTCATACATAGCAGCCTCAATATCAAAGCCTTTCTCACAAGCATACGAATAGGACTTCATATGAATGTGAGACTTCAACACTGGTACAGTCATTTGCCACTTTTCGCCAGGCGAAAGCTCAACCTCAATTCGAAACCTCGTCGGCTGCGTCCAGTGGTCCGTTGGGTTAATTTCAATACCACTCCTATCTGAACTCTCTGTCCCTTTCGAGTTCGACATTTGTCTTCCACCAGAATACCACAACGGCCGCAGAAAAAACGGCAGTTGGTCAAACACTGTAACCGTAACAGTTTTATCTCGCAGATTATTCCGAATCTCGAGCGCGTATTCGGTTCGCAAGCGATCTGGGTATTCATCTTTCCGCAGCAACGATCTCCTCACTAACACCGGTTGAGGTGCGAGTTCCCGACTCTGCGAAAATAAATCATTTCTTCTTCTACCAACAAAATCTTACTTTGATGATTTTAGAATTTTCTGCATCTACTGCTGGACACACTGCGTAACCTCCCGTAGAATGCGCACGTAAGAGTCGTTGGGCTACGATGGAGTTCGACGGGAGCTGAATTTCGAGGCGCGCGGTCATTTCCATCCGGGAACTCCCTGTATCGATCGGTGTGACCGAAGCCAATAATCCCAGTGAGAAGAACTCACCTGACAGTAGTACCCTATGGAATCAGCTATGTTACGAGATGGACGGTATGATAATATCAACAGAAGCTTACTCTCGGCAAATGCTATCTTGGAGGCTTCGTCATTCATAAGAACCGCAGCTAATCCCAGTCGATCAGAGCATGGCAAAACGGCCAACCACGGGGTCAAATTCTCTGTACCTGCTTGCAGCCTCTCATACCACTCCTCCCGCAACACATCCTGGAATCAATCAAGCCACACCCGCAACAACTTATGGAGAGCAGCTCATCGCTAGCTCCACACAAATCTCAGTACACAAATCAGAAGAACTAAAACGACCAAGACGCTATTTTCAGTACTGACGGGCACAGTGAAATTCCCCGACTTACACGTAGGTTCATACGGTAGACCTTCCCACATCAAACCATCTGGTGTAACGGACGGTTGTATCCACCCAAAGCTCTCATGAACAGGATCTAAACACCGCATAGGTTCAATCCCCACACCTTACATTTAATACCCATTCCTTCAAAGCTAGCTCCAAGCACACCGCTCAAAGCCCACGTGAGTCTCCGCCATTTTTCCATCCGTTCTCGCTCTGGAATTCTCGCCATCAACATCGCCCCTGGAGGGAATCTGAAAACATTTATCGAATAAATTATTTCTACGGTTAAGTATAGGAAACGGTCAAATACATGTGTTGGGAAATTCTTGTTGGTTTCCGCTGTATATACTCCTATGTGCAAGTGAGAAAATTCATGAACTCAGCTGAGGAGAGCGGACATATATTCCTACTCCAACACTGTATAGGAAACTCCTGAGCTCAGGTGAGGAAAGCGAACATATATTCCTACTCCAACACTGTATAGGAAACTCCTGAGCTTAGGTGAGGAAAGCAAACATATATTCCTACTCCAACACTGTATAGGAAACTCCTGAGCTCAGGTAAGGAAAGCGAACATATAGTCCTACTCCAACACTGTATAGGAAACTCCTGAGCTCAGGTGAGGAAAGCAAACATATAGTCCTACTCCAACACTGTATAGGAAACTCCTGAGCTCAGGTAAGGAAAGCGAACATATAGTCCTACTCCAACACTGTATAGGAAACTCCTGAGCTCAGGTGAGGAAAGCAAACATATATTCCTACTCCAACACTGTATAGGAAACCCCTGAGCTCAGGTGAGGAAAGCAAACATATATTCCTACTCCAACACTGTATAGGAAACCCCTGAGCTCAGGTGAGGAAAGCAAACATATATTCCTACTCCAACACTGTATAGGAAACCCCTGAGCTCAGGTGAGGAAAGCAAACATATATTCCTACTCCAACACTGTATAGGAAACCCCTGAGCTCAGGTGAGGAAAGCAAACATATATTCCTACTCCAACACCGGGTCAATTCAAAGAAAACTACTGTATGTGTATGATATCCTCATCAAACTGCTTACGATTCGATACAGAACTTGTCACTAAAATAGAAATAAGACTATTCCGAAATATACAGCAGTATACTGCATATAAATTATAACGGTAATGCTAACGATAAATATCATGTAAATATCACTTCGTTACCGCACATCATTTTGACCACCAAAATTTCATATACTCTTACGGAGCTGATCATCTCATCTCAACAAGAAACAAAGTATAAATCTCAATCTATATTGACAGGGTAACAAAAAGCTCGTATTATGCATACCACTCCATCGTCAACTCTTGCCATTTAGCGATAGTCACCATAGGGGTTATAACCCCTCTTTGCACAACGATGATGACCATCAGTTAAACCAGTGTGGGAATATATGCGTTTGCTTTCCTCAACGGCGCGTAGGAGTTTCCTCACTAATTATACAAGTTCATGTACGAACTCGAGTAGAAAGTAGTTGAATATTTTCCAAAATTTTCTCAGACTTTTCATTTCGACACCAACGTATCTGGTTGACAATGTGCATATTCCACCACACTAAGTTCAAGCACCACTACTAACGAGTTCTACCATTTGGTCCTGCCCCCAACTTAGTATAAATACTCTCCCTGAATCGCATGTCAAATCTCTCTCCTTATTACACGGTTCTAGGCCCCTCAAGTGCTGACTTCCACAACCCTCTAATGAGCTGCGCTTCAAAAGAAGCATAACTCCCTTGGTCATCCGATAGTAGATCCAGGATGTTGCCTATACCTGATCTCTAGTAGTTAACATTCACTCACCACAACAAGAAGCGCTACACTAAGCCCCCCCAGAGTTTCTCTAATAGAAAAACTGCTGAATATTCCTTCATTTCGTTCGACATTTTGGAAACGAAAGTAGAATTTTAAAATCTTATAGTGGAGTTTCACCCGTTTTACGCGAAGTGAAATGTGTCTTTCACTAGTGTTTTTCACATCACTAGGGTGAAACTCCAGTATATACAATGTTGAACTCAACTTTCAACGAGAATCTACCCGACAACTAAACACACCTCATCTAGTTTCAATCAGCTGATGTGGTTTGTTACACATAGATGTATCATAAACAGTATTATATAGGGGTATACGATATTGTTCAATTGGCAATAGCGCAAAAATAGAACAGGAAATAGTCAATAGTTTGGGTACAGTTAACGACGTTTATGAGCATCCTAAACGGTAACAGACGCGATGATCACCATGCTGTTACTATGCCACATAACACCACAAATTCCTATGATGATTTCTATTAATAATATATACAACAATCAATAGTAGTTTATAAAATACTACTATGAAAATATATATATAACAGTAACCTCTACCTCGTGGAGTTTCACCACCCTAGTGATATGAAAAACATATTTCACGACTACTGCATATCACCGCGAATTACGCCACTTTACGTAAAACAGGTCGTGAAACTCCATTAATATATTTATATTTACGCTAAAACCAAAAGTTCATCCTAAATTCCGATGTCACGTTATTCTAAGTGAGTTCAATCTCCCCTGCTACCTCGCGGAAACAAATCATAATTTCCATTATTCGCTTCCTCGGGAGATCTAATAGAAGTTATATTCATCTCGTACAGCACCTGAGAACTACTGAATGTCAATAAACATACACAACGAAAAAAAGGTTACTCGAAAATACTGCCAATATCGCATACACATAAAACTCGAGCGTTCATACCAAGATGCTTATAGTATTACTATGAATAAATAATATGAGTATTATTGAAGTTTCACCCTAGTGATATGAGAAACACTAGTGAAAATTCTATTTCGCGACTACTGCGTAGTGCAAATATCGCGTTTTTCACCGAGTTTTACGTCACTTCACACGGGTGAAACTCCGTTTTTATAATTACAGTTATACTCCCAATATGCTAGCTGACAACAACCTAATATATAACATATGGAACTGATCATTAACAATTGATGAAACTTTTCAAAAACGACTCGTCGAAGCTGCGATATGTTCGCCTAAAACACTTCGTAGCCTCACTACACTCATCGAATAAATTCGTCACGAGGAGCGAATGTGCGGAAGTACTTCATGAAATTGAAATGAGGTCGGCAAAGAAAAAACAATAACAGCGTGTAAACCACTATGTAACTCCTTCAAGCTTATACGATTTTTCAAGCAAAAACGACTAGTACGCCGATAAATATCTAATCACCAGCAAATTCTCAGAGCCGCCAAAGTCCTCAAACATTTCTATGTTCTCCACGGCAGCATCCATTGCTGAGGACAGCACCACAACAGAGGAGGCTAACAGAGCTGTTAGGAAGACATACATAAGAGAAAAACACTTCGGGTGGATTCGAACCGAATACCAACCGCATGTAGGCCCAACACCTTACCGCGTTACACTATCCCAACCTATACAACTAACAACACTAGAATCTTCACAGGTGAACTGAAACTTGCTGATCATCATGGAAATATACACGTTGGCAATAATTGCCAAGATTGTCTTTACTCCTTCGGTACCTCTCCATCATCATAAATAAGACCCGCCGCTGAGAGCACAACCGAGATTATCACTTCGAATCGAGAGCCAAACAGACAGACATTCAGCAGGTGACGTTATTAGCAGTAACACACCATGTATTACACAGTGTATAACTGTTTACTGCTACGCAAATATGCTAATACCACACCATTTTGAATTTAATACGACAGATATACACCAACGTTATTATCTTTCCCATGTTAATATACATACAAGACCTCTACATATACATACATAGGATGGCCTAGCGATAATCACGGTAAGTACAATATTAATGCAACGAAGTTTCACGGCCCGTGATATGAAAAACACTAGTGAAAAACATACTATACGACTACTGCATATCACCGCGAATATCGCGTTTTTCCACGAGTTTTACGACGCCACTTTACGTAGAACGGGTGGTAAAACGTGCTGATAACGATATAAAGAATATAGGCAATTTCTATTGGTTTCCGTAAACTTCTACTCGAGTTCGTAAGTAGACTTCTATAATAAGTGAGAAAATTCATGAACTCAGCTGAGGAAAGCGAACATATATTATTACTCCAACACTGTATAGGAAACTCCTGAGCTCAGCTGAGGAAAGCGAACATATATTACTACTCCAACACTGTATAGGAAACTCCTGAGCTCAGGTGAGGAAAGCAAACATATATTCCTACTCCAACACTGTATAGGAAACTCTTCTGAGCTCAGGTGAGGAAAGCGAACATATATTCCTACTCCAACACTGTATAGGAAACTCCTGAGCTCAGCTGAGGCAAGCGATTACATATATTCCTACTCCAACACTGTTTAGGAAACTCCTAAGCTCAGCTGAGGAAAGCGGACATATATTCCAATAAAACCCGAAAATTTACATAACACACCATAAAGGATCTCCCGAGCTGATTGTCGGTTACACACAGCAATGACCACGCCTTGCGCGTTACCTTCCCGAGCCTTCCGTCGTGCTTTGACACGCATCCAAAAGTCATTTCCTTTTTGCCTCTTTTCCGCCTCCTTTTTTCCTTGCTGAAGAGAAAAAATTACACAAAAATCTTCGCTCTATCGGAAAATACTACTTTTGGAGTAAAAATCACATCGGAGAAT